AAAACGGCAGTCGGTTGTGATGCGAAATATTTGGTAGACAAGGCATCTTGTGGCTTACTTGTTGCATTAGCTGGTAAATAAACTATCAGACCCAAACGCTGATTATGTTGGCTCCAGTTTTCATTTAATATTACCTTAGTCTCAAAAAATACTCACATCGGATGAAAACATTTATAAGTGTTATCTCATGACTGAGTTAGATCTGCTTAATCAAAAAAGGTCTTTATAAAAATAATTTCCTAGGCTTCTCATTGAAGAACTAAGAGTATTGAGTTGCTCTATTTTGTCTAGACTACAATATTGCTGAAAAAATTTCTTCTCGGCTAGTCACCAAAGTTAGGCTATAATGTATGTGAATTTATTTGCGCCTCCTTTTTTTGCAATCCTTTTTATCGTTATGCTTTGCATAAAGTTACTCTTTTTCCGGCTCAGGTCTTTCTTACTCTACCTACTCATCGCAGTTTGGCACCCGGGCACTGCCTTCTCACGCCCTATGATCACATTGGTTCCCTGAACAGGGCCGACATGGAGGTCGCCCGTGAGTTGGCTCAATTTAAGTTTCAACTCTCAAGCTTGGCAGCCAATGCGCTCTTTCCAGTATCCCAATCAGGCCAGCCTGTTGAAAGCAGAGCTGGTGAAGGGTCTCCGTTATCGCCATCTTCGGACAGTGGAGCAACCAGTAGTCCGGGGGATTTTGTATTTTTGGAAACTTCGCGAATTCCTGATTCACCTAAGCAACATGCTCAGATTGAATGTATCCCGCTTTCTGGAGAAATGGTCGAGTTGTTGCCATTCTATTTTAAGGCAGGTCCCGTTTTTATCTATTCTGAAGGCTTTGCAAGTTAAAAGTGTGTAGATGTTAAATTTCAAAATGTGGCTATATTTTTTCCGCTCACTTCCAAGTTCGGTGAGCTAATGCTGCTATTATGTATAAGTAGATATGAAGAGTAACTCGATTTTGATGGATGCTCTGAGATAAAATTGTTTGGCAGACTTTCATTTCGTATGAAAA